CCTGAATGAGATTAAAACTATCCAAGGTTCTGCCTAAACATAGTTCACCTGCAATGTCTTGAATAGGAAAAGCAAGAAGATCAACATTTTCTCCCAAACCTTCACTCAAAATTGGGCCCCTATGTTTTTAAGCATATTGCAAGAAATCAATCTGAATCCCTCCATTTTCACATTTTCACCCAGACTGTAACCTCAGATTTTGTACTCTGCCTAGTTCTTGAAAGCTAAACCTCCAGGGGAGTTTTTGCCTCTCCTCCTCCTTCTTCTTCTTCTTCTTTTTTAATATTTAGTTAAAGGCTTCTCCATATGCCTTTGTGTTTTGTAATCCTGCTTCAGCATACTAAGAAAAGCTTGAAGGTTGACTTCTGCCCTGGCTAGAACAGGGAATTTTGGAAATTCATGTGAGTAATGTTCTTTTTGGTTTGTAGCTTGATACCACAAATTTGAGTAAGGATTTTGTAAATGGGTGTTGGCTATTTGAACAGGTGGTTGCTTTTGCTATATGATATCCATTGAATGAGACTATCAGCTCTTCTGTGTTACAAATATCTTACTGACCTGATAACGCTAAAACCAGCACATGTAGTAGAATAAGAAAATACATTCCCCTGGTTTAAATTGCAGCAAGAAAGATTTGAGTTAGATATCAGGGGGAAAAAAAAAAGCTCTTTTTACCCCTTGGAAGTATAGTTAAAGACTGGAACAGACTTCCCACAGAGACTGGAGGCTCTCTGTCAGTGTGAGGACAGGTTAAACAAATATCTTTCATAAATGGCTCTTACAAGCCTTAGCATTCATTGGGTGGGAGAAAAAGCCCTGTTAAGAATTAGTTTCAGGGACTAATATGTTACCACATCTCTCATTAAAGATGCACATTAGCATGCCTTTATTCTGCTTGCATCTTACTGTGGTTAAGGTACTTTCCCACTCTGCTGGAAGGCTTTGGGAAGGTTCTGACTTATTTTCCTCTTGTATAAGCAATACTACCTTTTGTCCATTCTGGATAGCTTTTACACTTAAGCAAACCAATAGCATATGCAGTTGATTTAATTTTTATTCTATAATAGCCAATAGCTCTCACTTTCTTCCTGGCAGTAATATTGTATTTCTCCTCCTCCTAACACCTTGTTTTCCAAAGTAGTACCTTGAATTTACGGTAACAATTAGCTGCTCCCCTCCCTCAACACCTCCAGATCCACCTCCAAACCAAAATGTTATTCCTTTCTTTGAAAGATTGGATGTGATAGAGACAGATCAAAGAGAAGTAGCTCATTAGTCACGATGAAATTTAAGCTCTTAGGATCCTTGTCCTGGGAGGTTTGGTATGTAGGGTCATGCCCAGGGACTGCAGAATGTGACTAGAAAGGACCTTTTTAAAGATCCCTTCCATCCTTATTTTTGCTGATTTTGTGATCTTCCCAGACTCCTGGTGGGAGTTTGAGTGGCTGGACACTGATCGCAGAACACCTGGTGGGTCTTGAAGCTGCAGGGTGACAAATATGTAGGATGCCTGGAATGGTTTATTTTTCCTCTTTTTGCTGAGGCAAGCATTGAGCAGAACCTAAGTAACAGCAGTTTACAAGCTGTTAATACCAAGTACCCTGAGACTTCAAAAGTGCCTTGCTCTGCTCTGCACAGCTTGGCAGGTTATATTCTTTAAGAGTCGGCATCATTACCTGGACAAATCTGTGACATTTAATTCTGCTGTGGCTAACCTCTGTCCCCACAGTGAATTGCTCCTTCTCTCTCACAGCAGATTGTCTAGCACAGAATGCACATTTCTAGCATGCTTTCTCTTGCACTTGTCCGTCCTTTGCACATCTGGCTTTTCTCATTATCTTAGCTGTCCTTGCCTACGTGCTACTTAGGCCCCCTCCTCTTTAAGTACTTGCATGCACATTGACTCTTGCATGCACAAGCACTAATGAAGTCTGCCTCTGTTCCTTGATTCACAAAGATTTCTTGATTTTCCTTATTCATAACAGCACATGTCTAGAGGTGTGTAGGTTGTTTTTTAGCATTCCCAATTGCTCAAATTAGCAATAAAATGTAAGATATGTATGTGTTCTTGAGGCACTTCACAGTTAACATTTAAGCCATGCTTTCACTTATATCCTATTTTTTCCTCATTCTTAGACAATGTGTAAGGATTTTATTGGATAATAAGGAAATGGCATGTGCTGACATATTTGCAGCTAGGTGCTTTGGTGCTCAGGAGGAGGCTGTTACAAGACTGTCACCGTTACTCTAATTTTGTAACGTCAGCCATGCGGTAGAGTAGTGTAATACAGTGAAACGTGCCTGGCACGCAGCCTTATGAACTCCCCTTCTGTCCCAGGAAACTTCTGGGTAATTATGAGTTGAGCTTGTATACCTTATCTAATTTATCATTTAGGGGTTTATATCATGCCTATTACTGTGATATCTAAGTGCTGCTGAGATACTGCAAGATGTCTCTTTCATCAGCTGCTCATTCCTATAAGTTAATGTTAGTGAGCTGAAGCCTAGGCTGCTCTGCACAGCATTTTAATCACCCGTCCCTGCTGAGCCCTGTGTGTTATTCTGCTTGTCTGGTGGCTTTGTTGAACTGTTTTGGGAGATTCGAGCTCAGGTACCCGTGGGGTAAAGATGTGCTGTTGAAATCTGTGGCCCAGATGATGGTGAATTGAGGTGATGGTGAGCCAGGAGGTCAACAAGTGGGAAGCTGAGTTGAGGGTTGAGCAGGCATTTGCGAGTATGTGCTCTTCATCCTCTCAGAAATGCACTTGCTACATCAAGGCTTAGCAACTAGTCTGGAGGGACAGAATGTCGACTGTGCTAGCCAAAGACATCTCTCTTCTATGGGCAAAAGGGACCCCAATGGTCGGGGCTCCCAATCAGCAATCCTTCACCTGCTCAAAGTGTATTTAAAAATTGAAGTAAATTCTCCCTATGTGCTAAATAAGAAAAAGGAAAAAAGAAAAAGAGCGAGAGAGAGAAAGAATTAAAATAGCTAGGTGTCCCACTCCCTCCTTCAAACAGGCGCAGGTGCAGGGAGAAACAGAGGCATGTGCTACTTGCCCTTTTCTGCCAGATGCTGGTTGTGAGGGTCCTCAGGAAGGGTCAGAGCAGCTGCATGGCTCCTTCCCCCCCATCTCACAAAAAGCAAACCAAAAAAAAAAAAAACAAAAAACCCACAGTACTGCTCTTAGTGGGGTACTTTCTCACCCAAGCAATAAAGGGGGAAGCTGCTGTCTGCGGGTGCTGCTTCTGCCTTTCTTCTTCATCCACAAGCTCCCCAGAGTTTTTTTTTTTTTTTTTTTTTTTTTTCCTTTCATGGCCAGATGAAGCAGTTGTTTGTTTGTTTTGAAGGTGACAAGTGTTTTATGCAATTCTGGCTGCTTTCAAATGCCAAACCCCAGCTGGGCTTTGAGTTTCACAGAATAACCGCTGACACCTAATGAGCCTCTAATAAGTGCTTCTCCCTCCCTTCCTGTCATTTAAATAAATAAATGAGTGAAATTTGGGGGTGGTGGGAGGTGGTGTTGGATTGCAGTGGAATGAAGCTTTTCTGTTTACCCGCAGAGCAGGTACACTGCTAAGAGCAGTCGCCTAAGCTTCCCACACACGCACGTGTCTCAGCCCTGGCCTGGAGGGCTTTCTTTGAGGAATGAGCAGGGAAGGAGCGACCCGGGAAGTTCGTGCTCAAGCCCAGTTAGGTTCTTGCACTCCTTGCTCAAGCTGTCAACCGAGGTGCTAATTAGTGTCAACTGTGATGGGGGGAAAGGAGAACAAAGACAAGACTTTGAGAGTTTAAAGTACAGCCGGTGGTGGATTTTTTTATTTTCCTGGAATTTCTGGAAGGAATGGTCTATCATGGGCAGCAGGTGTCCTAAATGTATTGTCTCTTTAGGGAGTGGAGCAGCTTCAAAACAAATATTCCTATTTGTGGCAGAAGCTATAAGGCAAATGAATCCCACCCCTCTTTTTTTTTTTTTTTTTAAAAAAAAAAAGGAAAATGAACCCCCCCCCTTTTTTTTTTTTTTTTTTTTTTTGACCTCTAAAGATGTCATCTCTCTTTACTTAGAAAATGTCACAGTGTGGAAAATGAGAATATTGCAGTATTTTCTTATGGAAACATAGAAAGAGTGAAAATCATAACTTATGCTAGATTTTCCTTTTCACATGTCAGAAACACAGAGCAATTGTCTCCAGCTAAAGTATGTAACTGAGTCATTATGTAAAGACAGGAGTAGATATTTTAGTGAGCTCTTAGCAGGAAATAATGAGAGTTGCTGTTAGACAAGCATCTCTGTCTAAGTTCTTCTGTGAAGACATTCCTGAAATTGCAGAACATCTCCCTCTTCAATTGCCTGTCCTCTATCACTCAGGAGAACCCACTCAGTCATGACCAGGATGGGCAGTCTTTTTCTAGAAGCAGGAGTTATTTCTATAGCCAAAATAACTTCATTTAAAATGAAACTAATGGGTATATTTCACTGAAAACAAATGACAAAGTTTTCAAAAATTAAAGCCGTTTTCTTTTGACTTTTCCAAATGAAGTATTTCAATTTCTCTGTTTCAAAAAGACATTTTCTTTCAGTATTTGTTTTGATTTCTCCTCTTTTTAAGAGGGTAAAAAAAAGAAAACTTTTTTTTTTTATTGTGGAGAACAGGCTGAAGTCTACATTTCAGGAGATAACTCTGCTGTTGTTGTTTGTCTGAGAAAGCTGAAAGACAACATGTCTGTTTGACCATAGTGATGGTACCTCTCGACTTAATTGCCCAGCAAATGAGACTGCCAGAGAGATGAGATACCCCCTAACTCTTTTGTTTCTCTCCTCCACCGTCTAGTTTGAACCCATTTCCTTAGGGCATTCTCCTTAGATATGCCTCCTCACATGGGCTGTAAAACGTGGGTACTCCAAACTGGTACTCCTACCTCAACTAGCAGGACCTGTGGTCATCACAGAGAGCTAGGGCAGCTAGAAGTCAACCTTTCATTGTGTGTGTCTCCACAGGTGGGGAAATGGAAAGAAAAAAAGTTGCAAATGAAGTATTACGTATGGCCCCGCTTCGAGCTGTATCCCGACTCTGAGGAACGGGAGGACGATCATCTCAGTATTGTGACCCTCGAAGAGGCACCATTCGTCATTGTGGAGAACGTGGACCCCCTCAGTGGCACCTGCATGAGGAACACAGTCCCTTGTCAAAAACGCATCGTGACCGAGTATGCACTCATGGGCTTTTTTCCCTCATATTGACTCCTCCCCTCTCAGAAGAATGTGGAGGGGCTAATAGTGGCAAAACATGAAAATGCTCTTCAGAAAAGTCATTTGGGTTTGCTCAGCCTGACTCATGCCTATTCATGACTGGCCTTGGTGGGACAGTCATCACAATGCGTCCCCTCACCCTCAACCACAGACAGTAAAAGTGAAGTTCACCATGGTGTATTGTGGAAGGAAAGCACACGGATGGCACAGGGGCATTAAGGGAACTTTCCTCAGTCTTCTAACCCCTAATTTTTGTCTTTTAGGAACAAGACTGATGAGGAGCCAGATTATATGAAGAAATGTTGCAAGGGGTTCTGCATTGACATCCTCAAGAAAATCTCAAAGTCTGTCAAGTTTACCTATGACCTCTACCTGGTCACTAATGGCAAGCATGGGAAAAAGATCAATGGGACATGGAATGGAATGATTGGAGAGGTCAGCAGCAAAAGGAGGGCATGGGCTGCATCCCTAGGCTGGGGCTTATTACTTAGTTTCTTTCCTGGGAAGGCACAGAAGCGACTCTATAGAAATGATTGACCTGGATCCTTTTTGGACATAGGGTGAATTAATCTGCTTTGACACTTTGACCATGACCACTTTTCCTGCTCATTGATTAATTATTATTCCCTATGGTGTCACAGATTTGGCCTTCACTGTCAAATCAAGAGGTGATATCCATGCACAAAACAGGCTGCAAGCTAGATTTTAAACTGTATATAAGGTATATAAAGAATAACAAAAGACTCTGCAGTGTTAGAGGGAGGAGAAAGCAAGGACAGAAAAATGAGATAAGGCGTCTTCTCGGTGGATGATGTGTTTATCCTAAGACCTCTGTGGATTTATTTTTTTATACACATACCAGCTTTGAGGGGAAGATTAATTTCTAAAGATTTCCTGGAAGAAGAAAGTGTCCTGATGAAAGATTAGAAAGAAGAGACAATAGAAACAATATAGGGAAAGGGGATTACAGGAGTAAAAAGGCACTGTGGAAAGGCAAGAAACTGATAAGGGGTTTGCCTGTGATTCTCAAAAGAGGTTAGTCTTGGGTCTGTGTATGATCTCTTCTTTTCCCTTCTCCAGGTTGTCACCAAACGGGCCTATATGGCTGTGGGATCTCTTACCATTAATGAGGAACGTTCAGAAGTGGTGGATTTCTCTGTGCCCTTCATTGAGACGGGAATCAGTGTCATGGTGTCACGTAGCAATGGAACTGTCTCACCTTCTGCCTTTTTAGGTATTATTTTAATCTAAAATTAAAACCTCACGTTATCTTCATCAAAAATTAGGTGAAGGTTGTTTGTGACTCTTAGACTGAAAGTCCCTTTTTGGGAATACCTGTGGGACAGGTATATAAAAATAAACTGTGATGTTTTAGTTCCAAATCCCAAGCAAGCAAAATCCAGGCAAATGCAAACACATTACCTAGAAGGTCCAAGGCATTTCTCAATACTTATTAAGCCTAATTCTGTCAGAGAATTGTCTCTCTCAGCATTGGCATCTATGCTAGAGCATTTAGTTTTCCAGTGAATACACTAATAGCATATTCAAAAATCAGAAAAAAAAAGTTGATCCAAGTCTTATACTTGGTATGCCATTCTACTTAGTGATAACAATTAGCAAGGAAATTTTGCATCTTTAGAGACATTATTTATAAAGAAATTAACTTGACCCTCCTTAGACAGAGCAACTGATGAAAGTTAAGGATCTAACAGAGTTTCTGAAAAAAAGAGTTTTGTCATCAGTTCTTTGATGAGCTAATGCCATGCCTTCTAATAAAATTGTTTCTAATGTCCTTCAGTAATGCAGGGCAATCAAAGAATGCAGAAATGATACTGCATTTTCCCAAGGCATCGGTGCCTTCCTGGAATCTACTATTTGGCTTTATAAAATACTTCATGATGCAGCAAACACACTGTATGAGTTACATAATTTCTGTCTCCTCTGTGCCAGAATCCTGAGAATATTTACAAACAGAAGTAACCTTATACGGGTAAAGATTTTTTTTTCCAAACCTCTGTAACTAGGATTTTCATGGCTACTCACTCTTCTGTAGTTTTTGCCTTTAGCTATGTCCACCGATATTGTCAGGGTATATAAAAGCAGCAGTAAAAATAACTCAGTGTTTTTTAAATTACAAATAAAATGAGGTTCCAATATGGCTGTAGTCTGGAACAAAGTTCTAAGATTCTCTAATCTGGTTCTATCCCATCTTTATCTGTTCAGGCTTGGAGAAGGAGGAGACCTGCAAGGGATTATATATTTACAGAATATAAATAATGACATTTCTAGAATGAGCCAGTGTTCCTGCTTCTACAGGAATTGAATTGTTGAAAAAGTATAATCACTATGGCTAAACCTCAGAAATTGGGAGATGCTCTTTGGTTCAATAACATCTTGAATATTTAGATGCTTGTCTGAGTCTCTGCCATTTTAGTCTGATTTTCCTCACGCTCTCCAGATGGTGCTGGAGGACTTCCTGGGAACAATCTTTTATCAATGTGTTTTATCAGTACATGTCACAGTGGCTGCATGTAGTTCCAGATGGAGCCATGTATCACAAATGTAGCTGTAAGAATGAATGCAGTCATTACAGAAAAAGAAACCACATCTTCCAGTTCAAGGAGTTTTTGAGACCTAGTTGAATGCTTCACAGCATTTTTTTTAACCTATTGCCCCATTCTCACAAGGATGCTATTGAGGCCAAGGAGGTCAAGAAGGGGTAAGGTGGCTGTAGTGCATGGCCTTTCACCATGACTTTCTCTTCCTCTCCAGAGCCATTCAGTGCTGACGTATGGGTGATGATGTTCGTGATGCTGCTTATAATCTCTGCAGTGGCTGTCTTCGTCTTTGAGTACTTCAGCCCTGTGGGCTATAATCGGTGCCTTGCTGATGGCAGAGGTAAAGGGATTCATTTCCTTCTGTGATCCTCTCTCACTTCTAATCCTGGTTCCTTCATCAGTGGTGTTTCCTTTGCCTGAAACATGATATGGATCTAGTCCACTCCAATCTGTGCATTCTGACTAAAGAGGGCAGGGAGAGAAGCGGAAAAATGGCTGTTAAGAGAACAGATGTGTATAATGGATAAATTGCTTGGCTCAGGAGACCGAGCTGTGTCGCCTTTCATCTCTAAAGCACGTACTAGCTCCAATTCATTTCTCACTGAGGGGAAATGGATTCTGGTAGCTGGCGCTGGCAGTGTCTGCAGTGCTGCTCTCTCTGAGGCAATCAGAAGGCTCCGCATTTTCAATCTGTCCTTCAGTACTGCATCTCATTTGAGAGCCAGCTACTGTCTTGCCCCCCACTCCACCAGCATAGTTTTATGTTCTCCAGACTTCACATCTGTCACCTGAGAGTCTCTCTCCTGTACTTGGCTCTAAGGCTTATCAAAGCCAACTGAGAAAGTGAGAAGCAAATTGTCCTGGGAGTGGACAAGAGAGTATTTTGTAGGGGAAGCAGGAAATACTGGGACCGAGTGATCTGTCTTTGTCATTTTGATTTTCAAAAGAAAATTTCTGGAGTTAAAGAGGAGGGTGGACAGACAGCTTGAGAAACAGGGATCTGTTTTGCCTTACTGGCATAAAGACAATTAGCAAGTTGAACCAGCTGTCATCTCCTTAGCTTCACCCCCTGTTGAATCAGCCCTCAAATCTTTTTGAGGCCTATTGGTCAGTGCAAAATATCAAGAGAGAGATATTGGAAAACACTCATCTAGTGCTTTGAGAGAATTTGTACTACCAGACTAGAGGGGACTGAAGAAATAAAAAATAAATTTAATGGGTATACAGGCTGAACTGTGGAAGTTGAGAGCTTCTCTCTTGGCATGGAGCTGGGAGGGCCTTTATGAGCAGGTGCTCTTGCCCACACAGATCTGTGGAGGCAAGTAATATTAAAGCTGGGAGATATTAATATAGATGTAACACTAGATGCTATCCTTAATGCAGGTGTGAAGTCAAATGCAATTACTAAGTTAGTGAACTGCAGCTGCAAGTATCGATAGTGATGAGTAGTTATGAACAGCACTTCATGATCAGGCAGATATAATCCCTCACAAGTGTAACATGCAGATGAGGAAGACAGCTGCAGAGACTAGTGTTCTGTTTACAACGATACTCTGGCTAATTCACAGTGACTGCATTCAGTTAGTCTTCCAGGGTAGACCCCTGCCTCCCATGTCTGGATTTTCTCTTCATGGACATCTTTCTGGTGTCAGGTGAACCTGTCCTGGGTTTTCCCCCAGAAGGAGAATGCATGATTGTTGGGGCATTCAGAGTTTGAGGGCTTGAAAGGACTATGGTTTGGGTTGGAGATTCCCATCATTGTGTTGGTTTGTGACTGACAAGGTAACTGTGAAAACAAAGCCATCACTGGAGAAAGTATTGAAAGTAATCACTGGAGAGAAGAAGGCTTTAGGAGAAAACTTCTGAAGGTTTCCTTATAACTTACAGTTCCCACTGATCATTTGCAGGGCTTGTACTCCTGTGTCTTAGGATGAGTCCAGACCATGAAATAGTGCACATTACAGAGGCACGTGGTTGAGATGTATCACTTATTAAGTAGAGATGGGTTTAAGACTACCACTCTGGTATGTAAAAAAACAAGGAGAGCCAAACAATACTTTTACAGCAACTTTGTCTCTCTGGCACCTAGAGGCGCCAGTTTTACAAGATGGTTCTGACCAGGGTAAAAAATGAGTCCCTTGCACTTTTCAGTTGCCTTAGTTGTATTACTATATAGTGCTTTCAGAAGAAAGCCATACTATTCCCACTCAGGGCTTTGGAAAGGAGCTATCAAAAGACTTTGATCTTTTTTGCTCCTCTGTTGGATGCAAACTTAACCTAAAGCAATAGCACCAAGCCTGTATAAGCATCAGCATATCCAAGGGAATCGATAAAATATAGAAGGCTAATCTAAAATTTCGGAGAGACAGGTATCACAATAGGAAAAGTGGAAGGCCCTCAAACTGTACCAGAGGGCTTCCATCCTAAAGGGATCTTCTCAGTATCTAGAGGGAAATCCTTGGAGTAGTTCAGGCAGCAATCTCCCTGACATCTCTTATGCTCAAGTTGAGCAGATTTTGGTGTGAATTCCTACTAATGGAACTAGCATATGCAGGGAATCTGCGACTGCAGGGAAACTTGCAGGATTTCACAAGTTTTCAGGTGTGGTGCTTCTTCAGCAGACAGCAATTTGCTTCAGCTCTCAAAGGTGAACATGGGGAAAAACAGCTTTTGAAACACATATTCTGTTCCTGGGCTGTCCGGGACAGACCTGGTGATTTTCTTCAAATAGATGAGAATATTTGCTACTTATATTCTCTTCATAGAAGAAGCACATGGGGAGAGGGAGTTGGGTTCATCTCTGGCTTATGTGTCTTCCTTAAACTGGGTAATAAAACCCACTTGCAGAGGTAGTTGGATAGCCTTGTTATTTTCAGGTGATGCTCTTCCTTGTACCTATACAAGCACTGTGAAAATCATAGTTTGCACCAGTTTGTGCTGGAAATGCAAAGACAACATCACCATTGAACAGTTGGAAAGGGTAGAGGGGTTTTTTATGAGCAAACTCTACTTCTGGTAACAATAACTGAATCAAAAAGAATCTTAATTTTCAGATCCTCCAATCACATACAAAAAAAGCTTTTGCACAATGTTTCACTAGAAATCTTTTGAAAGGTGAATTTTTTCTTTTAAGAAAAACACTTTTTATTAAAAAAAAGCACTTTTCATTCACTTTGCTTGGATACAGTGTCATGAACATAGCTGCAAATGTGGAAATTCTTCTCATATGGGAATAGAAACTGCTGTTATCTCTGAAGTAAACATGCAAAGGGAAACGCAGACCACTTGTTAACAGGTGCTCACCATGGGATTTTGTTTCTCAATTGCTCTAGAGCCAGGAGGTCCCTCTTTCACCATTGGCAAAGCTATCTGGTTGCTGTGGGGGCTGGTGTTCAACAACTCTGTGCCAGTGCAGAATCCCAAGGGTACTACTAGCAAGATCATGGTGTCTGTGTGGGCCTTCTTTGCTGTCATCTTCCTGGCCAGCTACACTGCCAACCTGGCTGCCTTCATGATCCAAGAAGAATACGTGGACCAGGTGTCTGGCTTGAGCGACAAAAAGGTAATGGATCCACCTGTACACCAAAAGCAGCCTTTTCCACAGAAGAGGCTGCTCTCTCCTCTTTTCTCTGCTTTTGCTGGTGATGCGTCCATTTTTTTTCAGAGTCATAATATTGGTGTAGATAGCACAGTTGCTCTTCTCTGGTATTCAGTCATGTTTTTACATATTAAAAATACTTCAGGAATAAACTATGGAAACAGGACTGAACTGTACTTGCAGGTATGATCCCAAACTACACCTTGACTGGCAAAAAAAATGATTTGCTGGAGTTTTGAAGATGATGTGTTTAATGGCTGTATCCTGTTTCTTTTGGGACAAAATAATTTGTCTGTGTGGGAACTGTAGCCACTTGAATAGCAAATATGATGTTAGTTTATTCTGGGGACTAGTTTTGCCCATGGGGGTAAATCAGTGTGACTTTGTTGATTTACTGTTGCTCGTATTTTAAGTTATACTCTCATTTTTTTTCCAAGGCTTTGGAGGCTTAGCACATCTTTCCCTGTTCAGAGAGTATTTTTCTGCCTTGTTTACATGCGCTGCATTTTGTTCTCACAGAGCATTTGCTTCTGCTGGGCTCTACACACTGAGGATTTTAAGGAGATTGTTCATGCATGCAAGGTAGCACTGTTTGGCTTACGAAGGTCTCAGTCTGTGCACACCACTTTATTTTTGTTTTGCTGTGAGGTTACTCACAAGGAATTGAGTGTTGTGAGACTTCTTTGCTCATGCTGAATTCATTACAAAATCACTGGGGCTGCTTCAGGGGTCATCATTGTAGGACAACTCCATAGCAATAGGCTGCACACACTGTTATTGAGAACAACAGCAAGAAAACTGTACGTGTTAGTGTGCTACTGCTGGACTGGTTATAATTACTGTCTCTTGAGTCCTCCATGATAGGCTAGAAATAAATGGTGGCTAGGCCCCCTGTGTATACAGTGTCCTATGCAGTAGGTTAGAAAATCTATTGTGTGTTCATTTTAAAGTTTTTTTTTCCCTTTTCATTGTTTTATTCCTGGAGTGAAATATGACACAGAATAACACAATCCATGGAGAAGTCCTTCTGTTGTTTGTTTTCATTTCAGCCTCAGTTGCATTCCTCTGTGATAAGCAAGGGTAGGGAGATGCTTTTCTCTCAGGGGGAGGTTGTTATGGGTGTGGGAAGCTGCTTAAGGGCTATTCTGAGCTATCTTATGGAGACCTTAGAGTCTGTGAACTCCCTCAGGTTGAAGGGCACCTGTTCAAAACCAGACAGCCATAAAAAGAGTTAACATATTAGTTTGTCATCATTAGGTTTTCAACTGTTTGAGCTAGGTGGGGTAGTTCATACCCCTGAGCTATTGTTCAGGCTGTGCCTAGGCTCACAGAGAGCACTACTTTTTGATTCTCATGTTTTTCAAGGTATTCTTTGTACCTGCAGAGATATGTGTATGAAATATCAATTGAAAGTGAGAACTCCTGGAGCTTGATAGAGCCTTGGATACAGATCTTCGGGACCATCTTGGTCAATATCACTGTGGGGTCTCCTGTGCGCATTACACTGAGATCATTGTCTTCCTCTTTTATTTGCTGACATGCCAGGGTTTGCTTTTGCTATCATAAAGCATATATAGTGTGTTTCTTGGGGAAGAACACATCACGGGCATGCCTCAAACACAGTAGCTAGTGCAAATGAAATGTTTGGATAAAATGATGGTGTTTTACCACAGAATCTGGAATCAGATGAAAATTGCCCGGTAAAAACTGAAAGCCAACTGCTGCCTCTGAAAAATATTGGCAGGTGGGAATGGCTCTGTCCAAAAGACCTGAGTGAATAAGCTTGATCTTCAGGGCTAATGAATTTTCACTCACTTTATGTGTGCAGCCAGAATTTCAGAGAAGCCATTTAGGCATCCTTTGAAACAAGTGTTTCAGGATGTCTGGGTTTGGGAGGAATTCATCCTTTTGAATATCCTATTTTTTTCCTCTTCCAATGTGTGAACACTGCCTGTACTTCACTTACTTCCTCAGTGAGGTCCTAAAGTAGGACTCGCAGTGCTGCTTCTCCTGTACAGGGCAGAGTTCTACCTCGGGGACATGGATGCGTGCTGTGCTCTTCTGCTTTCCTGCCAGTTTAAATTGGTCAATTCAGTCTTTCAAATGAGCCAGTTGCTGACCAGTGCCAGGAGACCAAGAGGAGAGCGTATGGCTCTCAGGTCTTTCATCTCCAATGGGAGAACTCATTTCCATGGCAGGACTGAAATATAAACCTCTTGACCTGCTGTGTCAGCTGGGGAAGGCACCTGTATCCAGCAGAGAATGTAATCCAAACTGATACATAGGGACTGGTCACTTTAAGGCATATTCTTCCTCTTTCCCGAGACTCAGATCTGCTAACAAATGCTATTGTAGCATAACAGTACCTGGGGAAGGTATCCCACTGACACTGTACAGCAGCCAGAATGCCAGATGCACTCACAAAGCCCGTTACTGTGCCTGGCTGGGGAAAACTTACCAAGGTCAGGCTGGCTACGCCACTGTAACACCCACCTAGGAGGCCTCCATGGATGCTGTGGGCCTTGACTAGGACAAGCCACTGCAAGAGATAGTCACAGCTGTTGACCTTTGGTTTCCCCAGAAAAATGAGCTGAAATACTCCTGCTATTTAAGGGCTTGGTTTCTTGGCTCTGCCCCAGCATTTTCTTTCCAGTGACATGGAAGACAGTGACTAACGTCATGTCCCTGCTGTGTGATGGGGATGCTTGAGCAGGCCTATCTGAATAGGACAGGAACCCTATCCCTGTGCAGGGGTAACAGGTGATATGGAGGGTGGTAGGAGACTTGCTATGCTGAGCTTCATGACATTTGCCACTCTGTCCTCCAGCTCTGAGGCTGCACTCTGGTTACACCCACCCTGCTCAGCTCTACTGCCCTGTTCTGCTCAGCTGTTCAGGAACTGATGCCAGAACTGACCCAGGAACCCACATCACTTTGGCTGTTAACTCCTCCACATTAACCCTTGCAGCTGCTAAATTGTATTTCAAATTATTGCTCTTGTAGCTGATTTCTCCTATACCTGTGAACAGTTTTAGGGAGAAAAGTCTGCTCTTCCTTGAGAGCAGCAGTGGCCTAATGAATCTTGTAGGTGGAGTTGGTTGGATAGGAAATCCTTTTACCCCTTCACGTGTGCTCCCTGCGCTCTGACGAGGTCCTGTAGAGCTTGCTGAATCGCCCTCCTGTACAGATACCAAACCAGCACCAACTGCGTCCGCCTGTCCGCTTTGCTCAGCCAAGTGGAGAGGTTGGATCTGCTCCTGGAAGTGATGGAGCCGTGCCAGCACGGGGCAGCTTCCCCCCAGGCGCAAGGCTTGGTCTCGTGGCAGCACTAATGAGCCTAGCCGGAGCGCTGTGCAAATGCAAACCTGCCCCTTCGGGCTGCGGCTCGCATGGGGGGCCCTCGTGGCCCAGGCCCCCTGCGAAAGCCCCGCTGGCAACACGGCCTGTCGCAGGCTACTGCAGCCTGTGCCCGGGTCTGGCTTCTGTCTGGCTGTAATCAGGAGATTTAACCCAATTTCCAATAATGGGGAAGTTGCAGACACATTAGAGAAACAAGTGCCTGCAGTATTTCAGTCTAACGAAGGCAATAAATACAGGGAAGATTATATGAAATGAACGAATGTGTGAAATAATCTAATAGCTGCACATAATTCCCATTCATAAACAGTGGTAATGGAAGAAAAGCAAATGCGGATGGCTGGCAGGGCATTTAAATAAAATAGTTTAGAATGCAGTAGTTTAATAATAATAATAAAATAGTATCCATGCCTAAGAATTAGTTGAAAATGCCAAAGAAGCTAGTAAAGTGTCAAAATGGTAATTTTTTAATTGACATAAAAAGAAGAGAAATGGATTCCTGCATCTTCGCAAATTAATATAGATTTCTGGAAATATTGCATGAATTTGACTTATTTGCTTTCTAGGATGTCAATGAAATTTTGAGAAGAGGGGCCTTTTTCTGTGCAGCACAGATCAGATATTGATTTTTTTCCAAAAGCTTAATTTTGAAATCAAAACTACCTGATTTTTTTAAAAAAGTGGTGAGACTGCAGGAAGGCAGAAGGAAATTCTGACATTTGCCAAATATCTCATTTTGATATACTTGAAACAAAATATTTTGATGTTTTTGATGTGTATTTTTACTTGTCTTTCTAAAGGCACTACTCATTTAAAAATTGACCTACATTTTTAAAAAAGATGTTTTCTTTGACAAAAGAAAGGGATGAAATGAAATAACCAAAAAACAAAACAACACATTATTTTGAGCTGAATAAAACATTTCAGGTTGATGCAAAATGAAAATCTCACTGAAAAACCTGCGAAGAAGAATCTGCTTTATTCCTGCAGTAATAGATGCTTGGCCATGGAACTGAAAAATGAATTATTTCCCACATTGTACTCTGCAGCACATTAAATCTAAATTATACAAGGATCCCAGATATGCAGAACACTTAAGCATGTGCTTAACTTTGTGCTTATGAGTGGCGACATTAAAGTCAATGAGCTATTATTCACATGATGATTGAAGTTAAATGCTTTTCTGAGCTTGCAGATTTTATACAACAAATACATGCTCTGGAGAAGGTTAGGAAAAACGTAGAACAGCTTTATATATCAGCCACAAATTTTCAATGGAGATCAAAAATGGGGCTCACTCTTTCACATCATAAGGTCTGTTAGAAGGAAGAGGGTCTGGTAGGGTGGCTTGGAGGCAGTACAAATCTTCCAGGGGATCATGTGTTACTGTTAAGAAACATTTGTGGTTCTTTTATGGATTCCTGCCTGACACAAAGTAAGCTTTATGGCAGTCTTCAAATGCAGAATATATACAGTTCTTTCAACAGTACTATGATTTTTGTTGTTCAGGAAACCTTTGTGGAGATTATGAATTAGCTAGACATAATAAGACCATGCAACTTTTAATTTTGTCCTCTTGGATATGAATCAAAACCTTTTTAAAATAT